TTACCGCTGCAATGACAATGACAGCATCATGTTCATGACTGCAGTACAGATTCATAAAGTGGTGGAGTATGCTAAAAGGGTTTTTGCAGCATTACGACCCTGGTGAAAAAGGTCCTAAAATGTTCAAGCATTATAATATATATGTTAAAATATTCAGATGTGCCTGAAGTAAATTCTATTTTCTTTTAATCCAAGGTTTCGTGTCGTGTCTTGACATTTTTGGGTATTTTTTCGAAAGGTTTGGGCTCTAAAAACCTGGACGTTCAGGAAAGTTATACTACCAATGTATACCACAGTTTTCTAGTTGAACCTTCAAACTGATATTTTCAAGTATGTACCTGAACCTAACAGCTCTTAACCCAATCAGATTTTCAAATTTCTACCTGTTTGTTCACACATTTTCAAATTTTTACCCATTGTTGTTGTTATGGTGCTAACCCTAATTTTGAAGTTAGTCCAAATACAACACAATGAACACATTCACCTGAATGTTCAGGCTTCTACACATGCTCTTCTCAAAATTTGTTTGTTTTTGATGAGAAAAAAAAATACAAACTTATCTGTCTTGATACATTTTGAGTAAAACTCGTGTTTTCCGTTCTCTCAGTGGTCAGATGAGAAGGTTGATACCAGCTTGTTTCTGCCTGCAGTAAGCACAGACCTGATGCGAGGCTCAGCCTGAAATCTGGGGCACAGCTGTGGCGAAAAAACCTTCCATGAGAAGGGAAATAGAGGCTGTAATGGAGAGGATAATGGACACAAACAAACAAGCTATCCATTAACTAAACAGCACATCAGTGATGGAGCCTGTTGTGGTGTAAAGCTCAACAGGATGAAGTCATCTCTGTTCTGATGGTCTGTAGAGCCCTCTAATGTTCAGAGAGCGTCCCTGCAAATCATGTTGATGCAGCCAGACACAGTTGGAGACTAGCTGGTGAACGTACTGGAGCATAAAGCAGCTAAAGAGACAGATATTTCCCTCAGCAGTTGGTGGAGACCTAAAACAGAGCTAAAAGAGAGTGACTATTGGACTATTCATCAGGTGGACATAAACACTACTTCAATTGGATGATCATGTTGATCTGTGTCTGCTGGATGTGTTAATAGGCAACTGTCTGCTGACAAGTTTGACAACTTTATAAGAAAATATCGTCTTGTAGAGTTTTTCTTCCCCCAACTAGTGGCTAAAATCAATTTAGCTCAAATATCAATATTTCCTTCTGTTTGTCTCTCAGAAAGGCGCGGTGTTGGTCCACTGCAACGCCGGTGTGTCGCGGGCACCGGCAGTTGTCATTGGCTACCTGATGTCATGTGAAGGCCAGTCCTTTGACGCCGCCCTCTCATTGGTCAAATCGGCTCGGGCCGCCTCGTCCCCCAACCCTGGCTTCTTGGAACAACTGAGGGGCTACAAAACGCCGATGATTAACGGATCCAAACACTGAAGGAGGAAGTGAAAATGCTATATAGGGCAGTAAGATAGTTTAAGTTTGACTTTAATGAGAAATATTTCATGTAATTCCAAGACTTGAAATAAGTCATATTTGTTTTTTTTTGCAGAGTCTGTCTTTGAACAGAGATGGATCTGGTTCTACTCTGGAGTAATGATCCAGAATAATCAGACTAGATGATATGACAATGTGAGATTGATACTGTTTAAAATACTGCACACCGCCTAAACTCTTTAAAATGGGTTTGGCATAAGATACCATGCTGGAAATCGATTCATGCAAATTCCCAAAACATATGACTGTCTTCCTCCAGCAGTATTTATTAGATGTGGTTTTATTTGTCTAGGTTTTGAGACAAAAATGCATTATTTTCTTGTTATTATTAATGATGTCTTCTTTGTGTTTTGGTGTTGTTATTCTCATACTCACGTCTGTGTTTTGTTGAATTTGATTAAATCTCTGTGGGGGGAAATTAGTTCTCTGCATTTGAACCATCTTCACTGTTTCGGAGCATGAAAATTAATAAAAACTTGAATGACAGACGTAAAAATGTTTGCTGTAACTGCTCACTGTTATTACTGTTATTACTGGTAAAAGCGGTGTGGTTGCAGGTTCACGTTACCGCAGTTTTACAATGTTGGAGAACTACGGTGGCCTTCAGGTAAGGTAAGAAAGCAAAAGGCTCTCTCTAGAGCCAGTGTTTGGGTTTTTCGGTCTGGGCCACTGTAGAAACATGGCGGTGCAACATGGCGGACTCCACAAAGAGGACCAGCTCCCTATATACGTAGATATGAGGGACTCATTCTTAGCTAATGAAAACACGATTTTCAGTCAGGAACACTCTCATCATAGATTTTTATCCATTTATTGCGACAAATGGAAATAAAGTTACGCTGCTCCGCTCTTAAAATGTTCCCTGGATTAACCAAGCAGCTTGCCAAGCCAAAACAGGGAGCACCATGCATAAACCCCTCGGGTATACAGGGGTGAGCCCAAAGCAAGACTCACCCAGACTTAATACACAATGTAGGCCTACAAGGTTTCATGGATGCAAGCCGAGACAATCAACTAGGCCATACAGGCTTTGCACACACACCATGACTTTTTGCTTGGGACCTGTTAGCTTTAGCCTCAGTCTGTTAGCATGATATCATGCCATCAACTGCATATTTATGATCCTTTTTGTGTTTTAAAACAAATCAGCTGGAAACAATAAAATGTCAGAAACAGATGGCGTTTTCAACCAATTCATGGCGCTAACGTTAGCCAGCTAGCTACAGCTTATGAAATTGTTAAAACTTTTCACTTCAGGCAGCAAAATCAGTGTCCTGTGCAAGTGGTGTAAAATCCTGCTGCTACAGCACAACACACGCACACACACACACACACACACACACACACACACACACACACACACACACACTGACCCTCCTTTCCTGTCTGCAACCTCTTGCTTAAAAAAGAGAGAGACCCCTGTGCGTGAAGAGCGAGGGAGCGAGAGAGAGACAGCGGCACTCAGAGGGACTGAGAGCCGTGCTGAGCAGCATGTGGATGAAAGCAGGAGGAAGTTGCTGTGGTTTCTGCTGATGATGGGCTCCTTCTGCTCGGCTCTGGACAGCAGGAAGGCGGTGGTGATGGTGATGCCACGGGACAAGTCCCCGGTTCAGACAGGGACAGGTCAGTTGATCACTTTATACCTCTCTATAACTGTTAAATTCTCTAAATTACTTAAATGTCCTTCATGCTTGTCATCATAAATTGGCTCATCATTCTAATATTCATGTGATATTTAGCCATGAGATAGTTTTGGCGTAGATGTGGATATCATGCGAGCAGTGTGTATTGCACAAATACTGTAATGAGAAAAATAAAATATATAAAATAGTGTATCTCAGAGGACGTTTACTTTGTTGTCCTGTAAAATGATCTTAAAATTAAACTATTTACATGTTTTTAATATGAAAGTTATTGAAATGTTTTTTTCTTACTTTTTTCAATTAAGGAGAAGAAGTAGATGCAATTTTTAGATATTTTTTTACTAGTTAATTTAACTTTTGTTGTGGAAAAACATATGAGATACAAACTATTATATAAAGCATTCTTTTATATGATCTGAAACAAGATTAAAATGAACAAAAAATAGTGTGTGTTTTATAGCTTCTATTTATTTTTAGATTAAGGTCTAAAAATAAATCTCTCAGCTCTGCCCAGGTTTCTGCCCTGTGTTTTAATTGTTGCCTCAACAGCCTTTTAACAAACAAAGACCTGAATATATTACTGAAACAGATGCACACCCACACTCACACTTCTCCAGCCGCTCACATGGTCTACTTTAATTGTCTCTTCAGAGTCGTTGCTGATTATGAAGAACCAACAGTCAATTAGCCAGCTGACCAATCAGACAGCCCACTGTTGTCCCACAGTGGGCCCACAAGAGAAGCTCTGTTGGAAAACATGGACACGCACATGGACTGTAACACACATTAACATACTGTTAATTCTACTGTTTAACCCGGGATCACCAACACCAACCTATGTGAACCCTTCATCTACGCATATTAATGAGCTGTAATTCGTAGATATCCCACGGAATCAATCCGTAATCCACGTAATCATGAACCAGAAAATATAAAGACCGCAAAGACTCACTGGGCAAGGGCGGAAGGTGGATGGGTCAAAATAAAAACTGTGAAACGAGAAGTCAACGTTTAAATATTTGTCACGTAACTTCCATTAAGTCATGCCACTTCTGTGATTATTTTAACCCAAAACACAATCTTTTCCTAAACATAACAAAGTAGTTTTCACTCTGTGAAACAGCTAAATATTTGAAATAGTTGCAGTGAAAAACATCAACTTTTACAGTTTTCAAAAAAAGGTTTCCCTTCCTCTTCTTCTGTCAGGGGACTGTCTACAGCCAATCAAGGCAGTGAGTTGGCTGCACCATCCAATCAGGACCAGGTGCAGCATCAGGAGGCGTGAGCCTGGAACCACCAACCACTGTGCTGCGAAAAACCCCAAGACCGTGTAAGAAAAACTTTCATGTCAGAAAATATACATATACATAAATAGTCCAAATCTACGGCCGAAAGCCAGCATCACGAACTGGAGGCGTGGAGTTTGAAACGGGGGAAGCAAGGATATAAGACAAGACACCACCGAGTTGCATGATGAGAAATGTTGCACCCAGTGTCTTTGGATCTTGACCCTACTAGTAAATAAAATTCCAAATAGCACCGGCCTCAGGACAACAAGGAGTAATGACCATGGCGGCCTCTAGGGGGCGTCGGCAGGACTGCAGACTGATTGTCTGGTTGTGCCACTTGACTGGAGAGGTTTTGTGACTCTCTTTTCAGGACCATTACATCATCACTGTCTAAATACCACACACACACGCACACGCACACACACACACACACGCACACACACACAGGCTCACTCACTCATGCACAGCACACCCACACACACACACTCACACACACACACACACACACACACACACACACACACACACACACACACACACACAGCTCAGAAGTGTGTACACGCACACACGCGCATTCTCACTCTCAGACGCAGCGGGTGAGCGAGGGGAGGACAGATTGAGATGCCCGTGTGCTGTTTTTCGTCTGAACGGAGCGTAAAGTTATGTGCTTTTGAATTTTGGGAGGGGGTGAGGAAGAGGAGGAGTAGGAGGGAGGTCTGTCACTTGCAGGATTCCATCACTCTTAGCAACCGTTGTTGAGTTACCACGGAAACGCTCTGCGATGTTCTCTGCTTCTCCTTTGTCCTCCTCCATCGCTCCCCTCTCTCTCTCTCTCTCTCTCTCTCTCTCTCTCTCTCTCTCACTCCATCCTGCCTTTATCGCTGGTAGACTTCCTTCCTACGTCGCTACAGCGATGCTCCGGGACAGCTGAGCTGGATCATTTTGCAGCCGCAGTGCCGGAGCGCAGAGCTCAGCTGTGCTCCGTGAAGGAAGTCGTCAGCCGATCACCTTGTTTTTCTCATCGATTGAAAGATGCCGTCAGTCTGTTCCTGCTCTTCAACAACTTTTTAAAAAATCACTACACTCTGTCTTGTGACCTCAGACCTTTAACCCCTCTGCAACAGATCAGATCAGAGGTCATCATTTTGGATTGTCCAGGTCTGTCAGGTTTCATCGAAGGAAGTTAGATGAAGTTCCATCGAACCCAAACTCATCTCTCGGCTGTGATCGGCGTAGATGTTTTCACAACTCCGTCAGTCTGAAAGACGTCCGGACGCTTCACAGAGGCCAAAGTCATTGTGAACACCTTTACTAACTCTAAAAAAAACCCCACCTCCTTCTCCTCCTTCACCACGCCAAGATGAACGAGGAGATGGAGGATTCACAGCTGCCCGAGGAGGTGCTGGAGACTGAGGAGCATGAGGAGAAAGTGCAGCAACAGGAGGGAGAGCAAGAGGTGGAAGTGCAGCAACAGGAGGAAAAGCAGGGAGAGCAGATGCCCCAACAGGACCAAGAACAGGAGGAGGTAAAGTCTGAGGAGGTGCGGCAGAAAGAGGAGGAGCAAAATGAGGAGGAGGTGCAGAAAGAGCAGGAGGAGGTGCACGCTGAGCAGCAACAGCCGACTGTGGAGGGGCAGCAGGAGGAGGAGATGCAACAGGAGCAGGACGAGGTGCAGCAGAGTGAGGCGGTGCAGCAGGAGGTGGTGCAGCAGAGTGAGGCTATACAGCAAGAGGAGGTGCAGCAGACTGAACAGGTGCAGACGGAGGAGGAGCAGCAGATTGAGGAGATGCAGCAGACTAAGGAGGAGGAGGAGGAGCAGCAGCAGCAGGAGGAGGTGCAAACTGAGGACATGTCACAGACTGAGGATCAGCAGACGGAGGAGCAGCAGCAGCAGCAGCAGACTGAGCAGGAGCAGCAGTTTGAGGACAAGCAGCAGCGGACTGAAGAGGTGCAGGACTTTGACTACGCTCTGGAGCAGAACCAAAACAACCAGGTCCTGATCCGACTGAGAGGGATGTGAGTAAACGCAGATGACACAGTCAGCTTTGCTGCTGATGCAATGTTAATGGTGATGTGATAATTGGTGCTCATGTCGTGGGGAAACGTTTACTGTTCTGGAATCAGACTGACAGCGCCGGCGACGGCATCAGTGTGGTGGCCCGGTTGCCTTGGTGATGTTGGCACGGACCGAGGATGGAGGGAAGACGAATGACAGAAAATGAGTTGTGGGCGTGCGACATCACTGAACATAATAGAGAGAGAGAGAGCGAGAGAGAGAGACTGTGTGTGTGTGCGTGTGTGTGTGTGTGTGAGATGAGGTCACAGCTTCTCGTCCTCCAGTACGTCTGTCTCTCAGTATAGTGGACGCTAATAAGCCGTCGTCGCAGCAGGGACATCGGTCTGAATCTGGGGCCACGGCGGCACAGATGTAAAACACCTTTTTGCCTTCTTTTTTTTTTGGGTTGTTCTCCGCGGTTGCCATGGTAACGGCAGAGCGTTGCGATGCAGCAAAAACTCTCTGCAAAGATGGACAGATTAGGAGAGAGAGAGAGAGACGGAGAGAGAGGGGCATGAAAAGAGAGTAAATGAAGAAAAGAAGGAAGAGAAGACAAACTGAGCATCACAGTGTTTTGTTTAAATGTCCTGTTGATGCTTAATGTGTCTGTTTACAATCTCATACCTCTCACACATCATCACCACACACGCTGAGGACATGCGTGTCTTAAATGGAGGCTAATTAGAGCAGGAGATGTAGCTCCGTGCAGCAACAGCATTACAGCCGGTCGTGAGATTAAAGGAGTAGTTAGGGCAGAACTGATTTTAAACATCAAAGTGTATTTCCAGGTGTTTGGGACATACAAGTTATATCATTTCATTTCTTTTTGCTTTTACCTTTATTTAACCAGATAAGTTGATTGAGAACCAGTTCTCATTTACAATGACGACCTGGCCAAAAAGGCAGCAGCAGGAGGCAAGTTGTTACAAAACAAATAACACATAGATACATCTCAAACAGTCTCATACAAAAATGATGACATGTCACATGTCACAATATGTCTTAATATGTACAATATATTTAAAAACAAACAGTGTTCCTGGAGAAGCAAATTCAGAAGCAGTTTCAGTGATCAGAGACTATATCGTTTGTAATGATTTATTGAAGGAGTGTAACGGAACGAGGGTCTATCTTTCCATAAAGCTTTTAGCGGCTCCAGAGGGAGCTGCGTGAAGTCTGATAAATGTCCTCGAGTGATGTCACTTGAGTCTGCGTCGGTTAGGTCTGAAGACTACAAGACTAAAAGAAGTGATCTTTACCACACCGCTGTGGTCCGCTGCACATCTGTGCTGCAGGCCGGAGTCTGCAGGCTACATTAGCCGCTACGTGAATAAGGTTCTTTGTCTCCGTTCGGTGTGGAACATGACAGGCCCCGCACAGAGAGCGCTGACCCCAACTATAACCCGGCACCTTTGAGATGAACTGGAACATGGGAGCAAATGGGGGCAAATCCCTGCAGCAGCTTCAACATGTGAAACCAGAAGAGTGGAGGCCGTTAGAGCGGCACTTTACAGTGCATGGCTTTGTTTTTGGAATGAGAATGAGAAGTATGATGTGTAGTTTCATATTTGTGATCAAGTATTTAAAACGGGGAAAAACACAAACTTCACATGTGCTTTAAATTACACGAGTCCTTTTTTGGGCTCTGGTACAGTTTTGGAAAATGTGAAGCCCTCGACCACATGAGAGTCCTCATCCTCATCCTCGTGATCTGAATCATGACTCATCGGTCCACAGACTGACACTCTTCAAACCAGAAGCATCTGATATGTCTGTTCTGAATATCAGATAACAGATTATGAAAACATAATTTGAAACACAGTGCATGCTGTATCCTCTCATCCTTTATTATATAATATATTTTCCTGCATTTACATCTTAATAATTTCCTATTATTCATCAACTTATGGCAGAAAAGTGGCCAGCAATATGATTTTATGAAAGTTTCTCACATCAGGAGCAAGCAGGGAAATGAGATTGCGCGTTATTATTTCCATAAAACACACACATGCACACGCACACACACACACACACACACACACACACACACACACACACACACACACACACACACCAATGCATGCCCCTTGGCTATTCTCTTTCTGCTTAACAGACCCTACTTGCTAAACAGCATCTTGTATTAGTAACTAGCTGGCAGCAGAGCGAAGGATTTGCCAGCAGAAGTTGGTGTGTCGGTTGAAGAAGTTGAGGCCAAGAGAAGTGTTTCATTTTGCCAAATCCTGTAATAAACATTGGCAAGTGAATGTGTTATCTGTCAGCAGTGATTCAATGAGATAGAAACACTGAAGGTGTAAAAATAAAAATGCAGAATTCAACACAGAAGCTCATCTACTAAACTGACATAACTTCACTCGTAGGTCAGTACTTTGGGTAGTGCTTCCATCCATGGGCGCCTGGGTATGTTTTAGAATGGGTGAGCAAACATGGCCCCATGAAGGTGCTATAACAGCCAAGAAACCATCAAACATTCCACATAAGAATGAATGCAAAATATTATTATGTCACATCTAAAAGTGCCGACTCTTTGATTTGACTCGTTAGCAAATGTCCCATCTCAACAGCCGCATCCTGTCCGATCAGCGAGCTAGCGTTAGGTCGGCTGGCTGACAAATCACTTCTGTATTTTGCCGACAACACAATAGTATTTAGTTTTAGCTAGCCTATCATGATCACAGTGAAGCTAGAGGACATGTTTCAGACTCCTGTGTGATTGGCAGCCAATGCATGCTGTGGCAAACGATCAGCAACCGGTTTAACGGAAACAACTCAAAGGGGTCGTTCAAAAATGTGTGATTTTTGTTGACTTTTTTGTCAGCTGCTGTAAAGCGGCTTAAATCTATTTGCCTGATTGCAGAGACTGTGTGTGTCTCCGCAAAAAAAACAAATGGGAACAGAAATCTAAGCAGCAGGACATTTATCACACTTTGTCAGGACAGATGTGGACATGTCGCCTCCTACAGCGCTGCTGGATGTCACATAATGTGTGAGTGACAACACCTTACTCTCAGTACAGACGCCACAAGAATACTTGTTTTGTTACTGTGGGGTTTTTTATTGAACAGAATGTGCCAAAAAGCTCAATAGTTCAATAGACCAAAGAAGCTTGTCTGAATCAGATTCTGTCCAAAGTTAGATACGTTTCCAGATTTAGATCAGGAACATCTGACACACAGACACAAAGAATCCGACTGAGACGCCAACTTCCAGCAGTTGACACTTGACAGTATCCTACGGGCAAAGAAAGAACAACTCTTCTGTGTTAAAACCTGCTCCATCTTCAGGCAAAAGGTGCTTAACGCTGCAGCTACAACTTTTCTTAGTGCTCTATTGCAATAAAAAAGCCACAGAGATGTTAAGAACGCTAGTTTGTCGTGTGTTCAACGAAAAACAACCAAACAGCTCAAAGACGCATTAGAATAACAAACAGGTTCAAGTCATTCTTCTCATTACAGAGTCAGCTGCTTCATATTGTGTGTGTGTGTGTGTGTGTGTGTGTGTGTGTGTGTGTGTGTGCGCGTGTGTTTGGTGCAAGTAGTGCTTGAACCAGTAAGTGCCCTCTTGTGTCTTTATTCATTTGACCCCAATTGATCGTTTTAATTCTTCTTCTGATAGATATGAACCCTGGATGCAGATCAACAAACAATAGAGGTCTCTGCTGTTTGGAGGGAAAACAATTAAGAGTACAGATTAGGTTTTTTTTTGTCATCCTCCCTAGTTTCCGTGGTAACAGCAGAGCATCTCGTTTCAGCTGAGGACAACGGGACGGATATCTTTCTCATTCATCTTTATTTAGTGTTTTACACAGTTTTCCTTCTGTCTTTTCTGTCTTTTTCAGAACTTATTATTTCGTATCTAATCTTTTTTAAGCGTTGTGTGTTTTGTTTTTTTAAATCAATCTTTTAAATTTGATTTGGTGAGAGAGAGTGATGAAACCATGAGCTGGAAGAGGGGAAAATAAAAGTAAAAGTGGGAACTGGAGAGTTCATCAGACTGTTTTGTGAAGCGTAAAATAGAACAGAAACCAGCTGATACAGTTCAGCGACTACAGTAGAAAAAAACTGAATAACTAGATTTTATATCCAGTCACCTGAAATTGCCTGTATTTAAATGAATGAGACTAGATAACATAGAGAGCCACAAACACCGGGGTCAGTTTAGAGATAGTGGTAACCAGTCTAATGGCATATATGTACTCTGCATTCTTATTTATGTTCTCATGCATTTACAGCAACATTTAACTGCCAAAGTTTGACTCTAAAACAATAGAATACAAGTTGTTTTCATGTATTTATGTATATATTTATGTGTGTGTGTTTTGCAGTTGGTTTAATAACAGACTGCTGCATTTGAATGGATGCTCTGCTTTTTCTTCCGGCCAGGACGCTTGGTCTTGATGTAGGCGGTGTAGACTTAGCCACTAAAAAAAGCGCGAAACGCACCCTGCGGTGGTGCATCACAAAACAGTCATGCGGAGAAATAAAGCGTCTAAGAATAAAATATTCTGTACATGCTCAGTACTAATAACGCTCAGGGACGCAGGGAAGAAAATGTGCGAGGTGACAGTACAAAACATATCGGCACAAGGAGGAAAGTAGAGAAAGGAAAAACACAAGAGGAAGAAAAAAATAAAAATGCAAATTCTCTCACTGAAGGCGTCAGCCTGGAAAAGTCATGACAGAGTGGTGAGTCATTCCTCCAGAAACTATCTCTGTCCTCACCTGTCACTGTTGCTGCTGCAGCATGCTTTTGTTTTTAGAAAACACAATGCAGCCTGCAGGCTGGCGCTGCTCACCCCGCCGTATACTCTGCTTTGTAATTCAGTGTTGAACTGCCCACGCAGGCCAGTGTGAAATAACAATAATCCCGCTGTCACATTTCAGAGCGGAGACGGGTCGGAGCTGAGATATAGCCTCCGGGATCAGATCCCAGAGCTGGGATTGGCTCATTTCAGACCAAATGGAGCTCATCAACTTCTGCTTTACATATTTACTCACCACAGGGGCTTCATCATTGGTCCAAGATTTACCAGTGAGCCATGTAATGGCTCCACCACAGCGTTATGGGCGACTGTGGCTCAGTCGCCCATAACGCCGGTAGAGCAGGGTCGTCCTTCAGTCAGAGGATCGGCGGTTCCATCCCCGGCTCCACTAGTCTATGTCGATGTGTCCTTAGGCAAGACACTTAACCCTAAATTGCTCCCGAAGTTTGTGCCTTCTGTGTATGAATTGGCACGATGATCAGTTAGAATCCTGATGGGCAGGTGGCACCTTGCATGGTAGCCCCTGCCATCAGTGTATCAATGTGTGTGAATCCGAAGACTAGGAAAGCACTATATAAGTACAGTCCATTTACCATGATGGATGTATACCTCTGGTGTTTTGTTGGCTTTACGTTCTCATTGTTTGGAGTCTCAGCCCCCTGCTCTACGTGTAAGAATAAGGATAATAGTTGCAACCAGCTTTTGACTTCAATATTCTTTCCTTTGGATCTTATCTAAACTCAATCTGTGGAAAAGTATTGGGCTTGCACATTTAAAGGTGAAAGATTCAGGGCTTTAACCGGACTAGTCAGATGGTTTGCTACGCAGAACCGTCTGAGAGACCGTCATCAAAAGGGCAGGGACTTAAAAAAAAAGAATACTTGGCAGGTGCTTTGGTGAACCATCTGTCAATGAAACTCTCACAAGTTGGGAGAAAAACGAAAATATCTTTTCCATGAAGAAAAGCCTGAAGTGCCATTCTTTTCTTTCAATGAAGAAATACTCTCCAGCTCTGATAGAACTGATGCTATTGAAGCATCTACGCTAACCTCTTTAGGAGCCATTGTTGTTTTGAACAAACGTGTCACTTGAACCCTGACAAGATGGATTTTTTTGTGATATATGATCTTACGAATATCGCGCGATCTCGTGACATTGCGAGAATCCAGGTGCCGTGCAAGGCAGTATCAATATAGCAGCAAGCAACTAATTGCTATGTCAAGATATATGATATGGCATCCTGAGCAGAGTTTGAAGTTGCTCTCCCTCTATATGTGTGTATTGTAGTCCGAGTTTCTCTGTGCTTTGTTTACGTAGCCGGTGCCCCACTGGCTAGCTAATCTCTGCCGCCCTGCACTGCTCTCATACGGCGGTTAGCGCTGACAACGCCGTATTGAACCACAGCATCGGCAGATTAACACAGCTCTGTCAGCACTGTTGCAGTTGCTTGCGCCGTTTGCCGCCAGCCTGATTGTGTTTGTGGAAAGGTATTTTGGGCCAGTGTGCATCATGTAACCTGCACTACTACGGACTGTGGCCACTAGTCAAACATGTTCCTGAGGGTTTGGCTCCGACCACCTGATCACTGTCAGTTTATGCTTTAATCAGTTTACACGTATGATGAGGAAACTTTTTTGATGATGAGGATTTATTCATTTGAGTGACTATTCTGTTTCTGTTTTTGTTTACAGGCAGAAGTACAAATGTGCATCGCAGAGGTAAGATACACACACACACACACACACACGCACACACACACACACTATGAGTTGTTATCAGTTCAAAGAGACATTGGTTTCGTTTGAGGCCCAAAGAGGTCAAATTATTCAATATTTCAGAAAAAAGAGAAAAGTCCAGAAACTGAAAACAGATGTGTATCAGAACTTTGTTTCTTCTTCTTTCCTCTCACATTAATCACCTCAGGACCCTCATATTAATCCAAGTGGTAACCTCCGGGAATGAGAGATTAAAACCGCGTTCCTCATATGTCCACTCAAGCCCCTTCGTCCCCCACTTTAAAATACCCAACTTTGCTCATTTTGAGAGTATGACTGTGTCGTCACTGCCAAGATGGATGGTATACTACCTTCCTCCACTGTTGGAAACACATCACTCTGTAAATTAAATACTTTGTCATGTGGCAGCATAGTATATACAACTAGCGAGAATCTGCTCCTTTGGGTACACAAAAGCTGACTCACTGAGTTTATAGTGATCAGCAATCAAACAACTTGACGCCAGACTTTGTAATGAATTTCACTTGAGAGCAGCAGATAATGATCCTGCTGCTAATGATGATAATCTACTGTTCCCAACAGAAGTGAAGCAATTGGGTTTTTTTCTTTTTTTCCCCAGGAAGATAAAATGCTCGAATGTCTGCAGTCTTGAACTTTTATTTCTCCCTCGCTCCGTCTCCCTGTCTGACTCCGGCTGTAACCATGGCAACTAAAACAGATTTCATCCAGTTTACAGGAAGGTGTTATCGTAACCGTGGCGACAGCACGATGCCCGGGCCGCAGCGGCAGAGTCTTTATGTCTCCCCGTCCTCAGCTTCCTCCGTTGTAAACATTCGAACCGTCCTGCACAGCAAAAACACGTCCACAGCTCAGCGTAAAACACGTCCATCCGTCCATCCGGCTATTCATCCGTCCACCACTTTAAATACCAGGACCGTACGGTAGCTAATAGATGAATATATACGAGCACTCTTTGGATTACGGAATGCTGCCTCATACCCCCTCAGTGTCTGCAAGCAATAACATATAGAGATCATATTTCTTCAAAAGTAATTACATTGCTGTGGAAGAAAAACAACCTCTAAATCCATTTATTAATACAAAAGTTTGGGTCTCAAACTCTACAAAAGAGGAAGACGCAGCGAGTATTGAGTGGCGGTCATCTATATGGCAACGTGTTTATTTCCGGGAGGAGACTCCCATTGCTTACTGTGGGAGTCAGCTGATTGACAGGAGGCTAGGTGTCATGTGTCCATCTGGAGGAAACAGATTTTTCGTGTTCTGGTTCTGTGGTGTGAACAGGACAGCAGCTGTGTGGGTGCAAAGTATGAAGATCGGCGCTTCCTTCTGTCAGTTAGCAGGTGTATGAAGTCTGCAGAGAGGATTCCTGCAGACCACTATAGCTCTACGTTGAGGTGTGTTAATCTATACATCACAACGGAGGACGCTACAGTGAACAACATTACAGAGGAGAAGAACAGCACAGTGCAGCAGCATCTTACAGATGTTCTAGCTTTCCGCTGCACTTGAAGTTTACATGATTTGAACTCTAACTCTTTGTCATTGACCTTTTAAAGTGTGTCCACTCAGATTTCTGCTATAAAAGGTCAAACATGGAGTAGGCTTTTGAGTTTACACAAATATGATATGAGTATAATTTTTACCAGTGTACCTGAGCTCTCCGCACTCTGAGCCCAAAACAGCAGCTCAGACAGTGTCTCCAAATCCGGCCACCTTTTTATTGAAGTGGGCAGGTAATAATAGTTTTGTGTGGGCGAGTTCAGGGCTGTGATTTGCTGACTGAAATCTGGCAACAGTGAGCTCAGACAGCTCAGCATGACATGGCTAAGATGAGATGAAGATAGCAGCTGGAACTAAATGATTTCCTGCTGGTCCATTTTGGGGCACAGGTATTGTCCAGCTTGATGAGACTGACAAGCTCTCATTTAAATAATGGCTGGCTGTGCTATTTTGCTGCAGATAATAGCAGCCAAACTCATCCCTGTTTCTAAGGACAAACAGTGAACGGGTAAAATGAGAACTTGAGCCAGTGACCAATAACAAGTCATCTTGTCAGTGCTCCCAAAATATCTACATCATCATGAGCTGCTGGAGTGTAAACAGCTCTGCAAAAGAGGAATAGTCTGCAGTTAGGTGTGAGACACGATGGTACAAATATGTTTTGGTATGGTTAGTAACCGAGCTAGCTAGTTTTCTTGAAATGGCACACAGCAAGTCATCTAGTTGGCTTTTGTGGATGACGAGCACTCACAGGGTAGCCGGGGGATGTTCCCGGTAACACGTCCAGCTACAGTAGCTCTCCAACTAACCTTTTCCTGGCAGAGAGAGCCAAAAATCATGACGTCATATCTGGGCTGGCATCTGTTCCATTAGTTTCTGTAACTGACTGCAATCTCTCAGTCAGCATTTTACTTTCCACAATCGAAGACAAATCGACATCCTGCTGTAAACAACTGAAACCTATACGTGATTTTAACAAAGTTAAACAACAAGTAGCCTACTTTGTGGGCACAGAGAACAGCTACAGCTCCCATGAAAAAAACTTATTTAATACTGTGTTTTTTCCTTATCTATAAAACCCACCAACACTCTCTCCTAAAGTCATTTATTTCCCTATTTTCTAGATTACTGCTGTCTAAATATTTCGACAGTGTTCTCTCCTCTCTGTCCCGCTGATATTACAGACATGGCCCCTGGTCTCGTCTTATCTGTCAAGGCGTGGCGTTTAGCCCATGCTTGTCAAGGGATTATGGGAATCGGTCATTGCTAAAGGCAGCTAAAACTTGGAAAAGATTTGTTTTTTTTAACTAAACACACGAAACAAGCCACAACATACTGATGAAAAAGTCTCTATTCCAAGGCTGTGTTTAGTGTTGTCGTTCTTTTGAATGAGCTTCTCTTACCTCTGGAACAAACTGTATATGTGCCAAGTTTGAATGAAGCTTATTGGAAGGATAAAACAGACAAAAAAGGTTTACTAACACACATACCAGTCAACAAATTCATCTCCACCTGGACCAAATGACACAAACTACAAATCTCCAGTAAATCAAATCACATCGCTAATAACGGAGACATTTTTGTGCCTCTGTAACTGATCAGTGATTATACACTTTGGATGATTTGTGAGCACATACTGTATGTGCACTGTGTGCGACCTGTGTGTGTTTGTGTCATCAGGCTGAAGGGGGTCCTGGAGCAGATGGACCGGGGTGTCGTGGACCTGCAGGAACTCCGCAGGAACCTGGAGCTCGCTGCTGCCATGTTGGACACTGTGTACACTGATGAGACCAAGTAGGAGCGATAGACTGACAAACAGATGAATGGACGTGTAGAAGTAAATCCCCCGTCACTGGTGACGGGTGTGTCTTTCTGTCCCGCAGGCGTCTGTTGGACACCGAGGACGAGCTCAGCGACTTGCAGGCGGAGTCGGTGCCCAGCGAGGTACGTGACTGGCTGGCATGCACCTTCACCAGGAAGATGGGCGTGGCCAAGCGTCGCCCTGAGGAGAAGCCGAGATTCAGGAGCATCGTCCATGCAGTGCAAGCTGGGATATTTGTAGAAAGGTAAAAAAAATATTCAACATTCATATCTAAGTTATGTTGCTTACATAAAATGCGGCTATTGTGACTTCATGAGTCATGCAAACTTTGCAGCCGTCATCTCCGTTGTAGAGATTTAGGGAAACAATGCAAACATGAAGCTCACATTTTCAACCTCCACACAACTTAACTACCAACTCTGCAAAAATGCACCCGACATGCACTTTTAGTGAGGGTCTGTTTTTCCCAGTTTGGGGTCCCTTTGTTCCAGTGAAGGGAAACCTTAAAGCTGCAGCATACAGCGGCATTTTAGAAAATGGTGTGCTTCCAACTTTGAGTTTGTGTTTGTCCCTTTGCCCCCCCCCCCCCGGGCACAAAGCCGGCTCCATAAAGAAATGGGAGAAAACTGAGTTTGATGTGGAAGAACTTGACTGGCCTGCACAGAGCCCTGACCTCACAGCCTTACCAACACCACTAGGCTGACTGTGAGCCAGACCTCATCACCCAACATCAGTATTGAACCTCACTCATGCTAATGCAAATCCCTGCAGCAGTTTCAACACCTTGTGGAAAGACTGAAACCATAAAAAATGGAAGCTGTTAGAGCAGCAGATTAACGCCCGTGGTTTTAAAATCACATGTTCAACAATCGCATAAGGTCGTGTAACGCATTGTATTAATAAAACTGTGACTCCTCAAAGTCCAGACAGATGATAGCCTCAAACAGAAGAGGAACACTTTGAAATGTTCCCAGAGTTATTTTTGTCTTGAGCAGGAATCTGGAGCACCTGAAGACGAAACAGAAAAAAACAATCAACTTCCTCAAAATAAACATCAGAACGCATCCGGCCCGACTTCACCGCAGATGCGATTAGAAGGTTGAACCTGAAGTGTAACGATGTTAGCGTGCCAGCGAGCTGGAGATGGAGATCTTAAAGGGAAACCATGAGGTCTAATGTCATTAGAGTGTACATTATTCGCGGTGACATAGAACGTTATCAGTTCATCTGCGGCAGCTTTAATGACGCATGAAATCAAAAGAATATCTGCTGCACCGAGGCTGCGCTCGCTGTCTGTGTTTAGAACGCGGTTACCATGACGACGGACAATCCCTCCTGGTCACAGACTGTGGAGGAGGGCGACCGGAGGTCTGCGCGAGGGGTGTATATGCATGCAACTGTCTGCATATAAGTGAGAGATTTTTACCTCTGTGTGTGTGTGTGTGTGTGTGTGTGTGTGTGTGTGTGTGTGACATTAGGATGTACAGACGGACGTCCAACATGGCTGGTCTGACCTACCCTCCCACGGCTTTGACAGCTCTGAAGGTACAAACTGTTTCATTAATGCAAACCCATCTGCAGGAAGTGGCATCATTTTGTTATTCATTTTAAAAATATACATCAGTCAGCTCTTACTCTGAAAGACAGTTTTGTTTTCTCCAGAAACTTGAAAGGAAAGGAGGAGGCAGACAAGAGAAATAGAACAAAGAGTGGAAGAAGACCCTAAACGTTGAGGAAAGAGTTGAGGAAGTATAGGAGAGGAAAGTAGGAAGTAGGGAATGGACAGAGCGAACAGGAGTGTTGGCCTGTCCTCGTTCAGGATTCAGATGCCCCGAGGGAAGTGGCTCCTCTTTAATCTCTCCGCTCCGGCTCTTTGACCGCAGAAACGCTTCCCTGACCACAAAAGGCCATTGTTTGGATGGCTCAAATCCTTAATGCTTCTGCCATCATTTCAGAAAGAGGTAGAGAGATGATGAAGAGGTGGAATAGGAAAGGAGGAGATAGGGAAGGAAAGGTGGTGGAAGGGAAGGAAAGTAGGAGACCAAAAGAAGGAAGAAGAATAAGGAAAGTAGGAGGTACAGAAGGAATAAATGAGACGAAGACGAGGTAGGAAAGGAACATAAGAGGTAAAGAAGAATAGTGGGAGTTTTGGAAGAAAAAGAGAAGGAAGAGAAAGAAAGGAAAAAAAGATCTAAAGGAAAGGAAGAGGCAGAAAAGGTAAATTACATGGAGAGGCGAATAATGAGGTAGAAAAATAAATGAGTGAGGACATGAGTAAGCAGAGAAGGAAAAGTAAGAGACCACAATTAGGGGGTAGGAAAGAAAAAGTAGGGAAAGGTAGAGATGAAAATGAGGGGATGGAAGAGGATGAAAATAAGAGGTAGGGAAGTAAAGTAGAAAGTAGGAAAGAAGGAAAAAAGCAGATACAGACCTAAGGTGGTGGTGGGGAGAGAAGGTAATAGGGAAGGAAGAGGAGGTAGAAAAGGAGGTTAAAGCAGGAGAAGAGATAAAGAAGGACAGGAAAATATTGAGACAAAAAGGAGGAGGTAGAAGAGGAAAGGAGAAGTAATTGAAGGAGAGGAGAAGGCAGAGGAGGAAAGGTTGGAGGAGCAGGAATGGAAGGAAAAGAGAGGGGTTGAGAGGAAAATGAAGAGATGGAGAAGAGAAGGAGAAGCAATTGAAGGAAGGAAGAGGTGGGGAAAGAAAAATGTGTTTTCAGCGGTGTGTATGTAATGACATACGTCTCCATCTCAGGGCTTCCTGTACAAACTCAGGAAAAAATTAGATTAAACAATAAATACTCTGCAGACAAATCTTATTTATGCTTCTCACATGATGTAAAACACAAACGGAAAGAATAGAAATAGAAGAACACTGTCACAAAACACTAAATCAGAGACAACGTACAATGTAATTATGACCTAATGAATAATTATAATCATTAATTTAATTGTATAATGCTGTTTCACATCCTTCCAATGTCAGCAAACATTATAATCACACTGCCCTCTACTGACAGAAATGCTACATTACATTGAATCACACTGAACGATGCCCAGACAGCCTGCTGCATCTGCATTGTCCTATATGACATGTTGGTAAATGTCTGAATCTTACTTGTTGTTTCTACAGGAAGTAGATCACTGGTCGTTTGATGTTTTTTCCTTCCACGAGGGCACCGGAGACCACGCCCTCAAGTTCCTGGTCTACGACCTGCTGAACCGCTATGACCTCATCAACAGGTTCAGGGTACACACAGCTTTATAAAGTTAACACCTGTGGGGTTGGACTCATGTCATCCTGGCTGGAGCTAGGTGTGCAGATCTCTTTATGAACAATAAACAGAACCAGCAATGAATTGATATATTTGTACTAGGTGGTTGTGTGTTTCCAGGAAGTTACTTCACCCAGCTGAGATAGTCCAGCACATAGCCCGCCTAGAACCCCCTAGAAAAATGATCATGATCCACCTGCCTCAAAGTCAGCCGAGCTACTAGATATCTTTGATTCAGAATGTTTGAGTATCCACATAGACGCGGTGTAGTACTCGTAGTACCTGTACTCGATGTACTACCTCTGGTACTGTGTTCAGATCCCGGTGCAGGCTCTGGTGCAGTTTGTTGAAGCTCTGGAGAACGGCTACAGCAAACACAGGAACCCCTACCACAACCTGATCCACGCCGCCGATGTCACTCAGACCGCCCACTTCCTGATGCTGCACACTGGACTGATGGTAACACACACACAAGCACACGCACACACACACACACACGCTGTGACATCACTTCGTCACTCGACAGTCTTTCACCATCTGTTTATTTTCTCTCTGCACAGTGAATTAATTATCTCACTCAGCTAACAGTGTGTGTGTGTGTGTGTGTGTGTGTGTGTGTGTGCAGCACTGGCTCAGCGAGCTGGAGATTCTTGCAATGGTTTTTGCTGCAGCAATTCACGACTTCGAACACACAGGAACCACCAACAACTTCCACATCCACGCCAGGTAATATTAATTATTAATATTAATCTAATTATTTTTTAATAATTATTATTTTCGACTCTTTATTGAACATTGTTAACAGACATTCAGCAGTACATGGGCATGGTGCTAGATGAAAAGTCAGAGGATCACCAAAGTCAGTAGGATTCATCCTCTGGGCATAATGGGTATCTGTACCAATTTCATGGCAATCAATCAAATAGTTATTGAAATATTTGAACAAAGGGTCGACTGTGCATCATAGTCAACCCCGGACAAAAATAAAATATTGGATTTTCAACAAGATTTGACTGATAAATGTCTCCACACACAAAAAAAAGTGAGAGTGGATCTCTAAACCAGGAGAATACCAAAGAACATAAACATAGTTGTTGGAGCCTCCGTATTTGAAAGCGTCTGATAGGATGTTGTGTCCGTCTGTCAGGTCGGAGGTGGCCATTCTGTACAACGACAGGTCGGTGCTGGAGAACCATCACGTCAGCGCCGCCTACCGGCTGATGGCAGAGGACGACATGAACATCCTGGTCAACCTGAACAAGGACGACTGGAGGTTACGCACACAGATCACACATCACTGAAGAGTTAACACTCGTCGTGGCGATTGGTCACTGATTATGTGTATTGATTGTTGGCAGGGAGCTGAGGGCTCTGGTGATAGAGATGGTGATGTCCACAGACATGTCCTGTCACTTCCAGCAGATCAAGACCATGAGGAACACCCTGACACAGACAGACAGGTCAGTGCTGCAGCCATTACCTCTAACCTCTAACCTTCAGCCAACATACATGTGTGTTTGTGTTTTAGCTACGACATCATACTGCTCATTATAATCTACTGCTTAATAAGAGATTCACGAAAAACATTATCATATGACACATAAGGGAAAGGAAATTGTTTGATAACATGCATGTTTTGTATAACAATATATTAATAATACAGTTACAAATTAGAATTAATAAGAGAAAATAATAACAGAAAAAAAGTCTTGAGAGCATTAAGAAATGGTTTCTTATAACATGAAAAATCTGCCATAATTTCTGGAGTCAGTTGCACTTTTATTTTTCTTTGTATAGTCCGAGCATCCTCCCATCAGGCCTGGACTTGACTCATTCAATAGTTCTATCATTCAGGACGCAATCATCGTTTCATCCCACTAATATCTTTTAAGGCAGATAATTACATTTGATATATAAAATGCCATATTATATGCTTCAGAAGACTTGAAACAGTGCATCGTGGCAGACTGAGTGTGGCTGGTCCATCTGATGAAGATCATCAGTGGGAGTTTGTTGAAACGGCCAACATAAGGTCCTGCAGGCTGCTGAACCAGACTGGTCTGGTGCATCCCCGTAGGGCTTTCACAGGAAGAGTACTGAGTCTCACCAGAGTCCCGCTTCCCTTCTCTGCATGTCAGCCCTGCTGGAGTGGAGCTGTGGAGCTGTGGAGCTGGGGGGGGGGGCAGCTGTCCCGCTTCTCTGCTCACGCTTGGATGAGATTTTGGGGAAGACGCTGTCATCAGCTTGTCAACTCACTGGTTCTGCTTGTGTTGATGCAGCAGCTGGGGAACTGTACCAGTTAAAAAAACTGCTCCACTAACATACGGAGGTGTAGCATTCGCAGTTTTTTCTCCTTTTCCAGAAGATTCACTCAACCATTTATCGCTCAAGTTTTGCTAAAGTAATTGGAAGACGTCGACGTTCTCCTGTCAAACTCATGAGAAGTTTCGCTTTTACAATTTATTATTGAATGACTTTTAAATTAAACTGTTTTTGTTCCATCTCTCCAGTCTCGACAAAGTGAAGGTTTTGTCTCTGATGCTTCACGCTGCAGACATCAGTCATCCAGCCAAAGCCTGGCCGTTGCACTACCGCTGGACTCACAGTCTGATGGAGGAGTTCTTTAGACAGGTACACACACACACACACACACACACACACACACACACACACACACACCCACCAAGTGCATTTACTCAACCATTATTTTTGTTTACAATGGTACTTGTACTTTACTGGGGTCTTTTTTTTCATGCTACTTTCTACTTGTACTACATGACAGGGCAAATATTGCACTTTTTACTCCACTAAATTTCCCTGAAAGCTTCAGTTATTATTATTATCTTAAGAATACCAAACATATGAAGAGCTTATAAAATATGCTCTTCCCAAAAGTTTATACAACTACAGCAGAAACTATTAGTCGATTAACTGATTTCCATTGATTAGATGAAAATTATTTGGCAACTTTTTAGATAGTTTTTAAAGTATTTTTTTAAGGGAAAAATGCAAAACATTGGTTCCAGCTTTTAAAATGGGATAATTTGTGTCTTTTTCTTAGAATTAATTCAATTTATTTGTAATCATTTTGAGGTTTGGACTATGTAAAGCATTGTGAAGGTTTGTTAATTGTTGTCAAGTCTGGACTGTTAATGTTGAAGAATAATTCTGGTTTATGATGTTGACCTGACAGTAGATCCCATACACAGCTATGGAAGTTTTAAATGGTTTCTTTCGGTGTGACTCAAAATGATCCATGTGAAAAGGCCCTGCAGCTTGCCCTGATATACATTGTTTTGTGTGAGTGCTTGTGCCCCAAAATCTCTACACCAACATGGGACTATCATGACTATGTGTTAATGGTATCGTCATGTTTTCTATCGGCCAAACTAATCCTAACAATGCAACGCGTATATCTCTTACAGGACTGCTTGAATTGACACTCTTTGCTTCACTGTATTTATCATTCTAGAGGGGATGTAAATACCACACAGCTGATTTGAGTTTGCGATGTTCATGTTGCCTTGGTGACTGTGTCTCTTCCAGGGAGACAAAGAAGTGGAACTCGGCCTTCCTTTCTCTCCTCTGTGTGACCGCAAAGCCACCATGATCGCCCAATCACAGATAGGTAAGATCAACCATCAACTAATAATACCTAAGGACCACTGCAGGTGAGGAGTACCATTAACTAGTAGCAGATACTAGGACTCATGAAAGGAGGTTCTTAGTGTATATTTACTTTAGATCAACAGTGACACCTGCTGGTGGTTTGAAGAACTGATATTATTATCTGCTCTCTGAAGGGATTGGTTTGATTATCAAATTCTAGAAAGAAGAGGAACTAATGTTTATCATTTGTACTGTCTTTCTCCTCCTCCATCCTTTGACCTTTTCTCTTCCCTCTTCTCTCCATCATGTCTCCCTCTCTGGTTGCAGGTTTCATAGACTTCATCGTGGAGCCGACTTTCAGCGTTCTGATCGACACGACAGAGAAAGTGATCGGTCCTCTGATAGAAGAGGACAGGAAGGCCAGAGAGACTGGAAACAGGAAGTCCAGGTACTTCTACTACTACTACTACTGCTGCACAACATACAAATAATCAAAGTTCCACTTCAAGGCAAAAAACTTTCCCCACAAGTGTAATAGATGTAACGATGGGTTTTAAAAAACGAGACCGAACACGACACTCTGCTCATCGAATCATCAGTCCAAAATATTAGCAACTGTGTTAGAATACCAATTTTCTCCCCAGATTGTGATTCCCAAACTGTGGAACTGATTAAGATATGTGTCAGCTGACGTGAGGCTGCAACTACAGATCACTTATAATTGGGCCTAAACCAGTTTACATGGACTTCATAGTTGTTCGATTGTCTCATACGATTGGACAAAATATATAGAACATGTGACTATATCACTTATGTGGGGCTCCATTGGTTCTGACCCTCCATAAGCCCCGTGGTCCGTAACTCTGCTTTGTTCCAGTCTAACAGGAAGTGGTTCGGTCACCGTGGAGTCGGTGCAGAGACACAGTAGCGGCCGCTATGGGAACAGCGATGATGGACAGATGGACTTTTCCCTGACAGCCATCGACCTGCCGGCTCTGAAGACCCACCTATCCGGCGTCATCGGCAGCAACAAGGACAGATGGAAAGAGCTGTCCGTGCACGGTACGCACGCAGGCAAACACGCACACACACACACACACACACACACACACACACACACACACACACACAGTACATCACATGTTCCCTCTTGTAGATATGGAATCAATGTGACTCTTTCTCTTATTTCCTGTAACTTAAATGTGTCTGTGTTGTGAACAGAGCTGGCCAATAAGGAGCAAGAGGAACAAAAGGAAGTGGAGTCTAATGTCAACTCAGACATCCAATCAAATGCCTCGCCCAGTCACAGTGTCCCTGACGGACACACCTCCGACCAATCACAGAACTCCCCTCCTGATGAACCCCAAGACGACAAGTCACCCGTCCACCTGTCCTGGAACGGTACGTACAGGACATCATTCCCAAACATTTACCAAACTGTAACTCTCAATGCACTGACTTGTTGCTTTGGTAACCGTTGCAGGGGCGGGGCCTGGGGAGGAAAAGGAGGAGGACCAAGATGAAGTGCCTGAAATCGCCTGATGGCGCTCCACGGCGAACTCACCACTGTATCTGACTGTGGCAGATCAACAGTGCAGTGACAACGAGGGTTCAGACTCTTCTGTTTAAACACAGCAGCTGGCTCAGTGGCCCCTCAGTGGCCCTCAAAGGGCCACTTGACCTTATGTTTACAACTGACAATGAAAATACCACATTCAAAGTGACGACATTCATCAGATAACAGCTTCTTAGCAGCGTCATGGTCCATTCGCCGTGGTGAAAGTGTTTTATGATTTTATTAGAGGCTCAGAGGAGCATTGTCTGTGTGAAAAAAGTGAAAATATCTAAATTTGATTTAAGAATAAAGATTGACGGGTGAAAACCACAGTAGCTGTTCATGGCTAAATATCTATTGTCTGGAGGAATGAGACAATATGGAGCTGTTAGGACGTGGAGGTTTTGTGAGTGAAGCAAGTGTGTTGTTATACACCTCTCATAATTCGTTAGGAGTGCGAAGAGTGATTTCTGCTCAGTTTTCTGTTCTGGGTTTGAATTATCAAGCATGTTGTGCTTCTGGCCACGCCCCAATATGTGATGTCAGAGCTGAGCGGTTAGCCACGAAAGCCGCATGGCTAAATATATCTCAACAACTATCAGCTAGATTGCCATGACATTGTGTTCAGACATTCATGGTTCCCAGAGGATGTGTTGTAATTACTTTGTTGATCATCTTATTTTCCCTCTAGCGCCACCAAGAGGTTAGTTATTTGTGATTTTCAGTGAAATGTCTCAACAACTATGAACTGCATTAACTTTTGTCTCGTGCCACATGGGACCAAACACCTAAAAAAAACTAATGACATTCCCATCAGCTTCAGCTACTTTGTAGTTAGTTCTAGATTGCAAATGTTAGCGTACTAACATGACTAACTCAAATGGTGAACATTGTAAACATTATACCTGGTAAACATTATAGATGTATAAAGAGAACTGGATACAGCGTTAGAAAAAAAGTTTGACATTTAAGTCTAAAATTTAGATTACATTACGTGGATCTTCCCGCGATCTTTAGCATCCATGGGCCCACAGAGCAAGCGCACTAGTGTTTCCATTAACCCGTCTTCCGGCCCTCGGTCCAGCCTGGGTTCTCGGTCTAGGAAGGAAAATAACTCTGGATTCGGCTATTAGTCTATGTCACAACTTTTAGGACCTAATGAGTTACATAAGGGCTATTAAAGTGTACTGAGAAGTTGATTTACCTTAAAAAAAAAAAAAGTTCTGCTGAGGTACAGTCATCTCTTTCCCAATGTAAGTCTATGTGAAAAATGTATTTTTTGGCCCCATGGCATCACATGAAACTTCAAAACCCTGTCCCGCTTCTGGGGGCTTGGCAAACATCAGCAAGTTAGCTTATTTGCTGTGAACATGTTAGCCTGCTGACGTTAGCATTTAGCTCAAAGCATTGCCTTGCCAAAGTAGCCTCACAGAGCCACTAGCATGGCTGTAGGCTCTTAGTCTTGCTACTTGATTGGTTGGTGATATTTTTTTTCCCCAAGGATGCAAGTAAGGGATAGGGCTAAAACTGGCACTTTTTAGCTGAACAATCCTAAACGTGTGTTGCGAGAATGCCAATAGATAAATTCACTGTAGTTGGTACAAAATGATGTCTCTGCAAGTCAAAAATGTTTCAACATGGCAACAAAAAAGAACTCTTATTATATTTGCATGCATTTGACTACTGGAGTGTTTTTGCATTCCATGTGCAAATGGCTAATGGCCAGTGCTAGCGTCTGCTGTTAGCTAGCTAGCAATATGTACGAATGTGTGTGCGTGTGTATATGTGTGTTCAGGCCAAACTCCTCCAGAAAGCAGCTCAGCAAAGTTCATCATTATTAAAAAGGTGATACTAGAAGCTTGGTGACATAGTGGCTATTTGCTCTTGTGCAAGCATTAGTTAATTATAATACATTTTTAAAGACACAGTGAATTAAAAGTTGTAGAGTATTTTACATTGAAACAACTCTTTTCTCTTCCTGTAAAAAAAAATATTTCTGATGACTCGTCCTAAACTTGGGAGCATTTATCCCCCAAACTATGATTTAAGGCGCCAGCTAACCCCACCCACCATACAACCATACTTGACACTCAGCTTGTGTGTCATAGTAACTAGCAGAGCAACCACAGTTATCATAGTTGGAGGGGTGTGTTTGGAAATGTAAACAAAGCTTTTGCCAGCTGACATCAAAAGAATGTGATTGAGGTCTATTTTATTCATTCCACCTGTATCCTCCTCTAACAACATGGGTGAAGGACGGACACTATTGAGAGCTTAAATGAAATCTGAAGGATTTAAATCCCTCACATAAATATTCACTGCCCACGTATTTCATATTGTTAGAAAACGTGTCACATCTCAGGAGCTAAAGTTGCTCTAACTGCCGTTTCAATGTGACTTTAAAAGATGTATTTGACTCCCGTCTCATACCGGTTAACCAGACCAAATGCTGGTTTATTAATTGTAATGTCAAACTGACCTGACCTGTACTTGCTTGATGTGACATCACTGTTTGGGGTTGTGGCCAGAGGTTTGAACCCACAGACAGCAGAGCAGCGGTGGTCAATCAGTGTGGATTTCTAACCGTTAAATGGGAAAGTCAGAGACACATCAGACAGATCACCTGTGACCAATTTAAAGTACTTTTGTTTTTCACAACATGGGTCGTCTTGTAGGTACTTTAGGTTAATGTACCCATAGGCTATCGTAACATTGTACTCTCCAACGTCTTTGTAGAAACTGCAGTGGACACAAGCACTTAAATTGAAACGGATTTAAAGGTACGATTGTCACAAAATACCAGAATGTTCCTTTAAATGGACAGAAGCTCAGAGATCAGACAGCTTCTGTTGCTTCTGTACTCTGTATTAAAACCTATGTTACTGTCACTTCTCCTGACTGTGAATAAAGAACAGTGACGTTCATAATATCACCCCAGTGACAAGAAAGCAACGGCCAATGAGATGAAGGGTGGAGCCAACATGGCCGACTGGAAACTCTATAGATCCTCTGAGCACTGTGTTTGTTAATGCAATGTGTGCTATAGTCATCATGTGCTCTTTGGCTCTGTGTGCGTGTGTGTGTTTGAGAATTTGAGTGTGTGCGAGAGTGAATGTGTGCACTGTATACTGTACAGCTGTTTTCTGTATTATTGTATTAAACATTCAGAGCTCCAGTCTCCTGTTATCATTTTTATGCCTTATGCCAGTTTAGCTTCCAACCTGGTATCAAAACATACGCCAACCGATTAATTGGGAGCTTTTTTCACCACAGTTGACAACTTTGCATTCAATATTTCAGGTCTGTTCTTGGACCGAGGGGCCATAAGCCTCCCAACCACCTCACTCAGAGAATGTTACGAGTGTTCAACTGCAAATCAACCTTCCGAAAATGATGCAATGCATTTCAGATGACATTAGAGGGCAGTGGGAATAAACCAGTGTTTCTGATGTGGTGGAATACTTTCATTCAGTGGCTGCACCACCAGAGGGCAACAGATATTTACATTCAGGTACAAACATACAGTTGATACATGACAGATGAGTATTTTTTTTTCTTTCTTTAATTTTAAAAGCAATTTTCAGTCCAACCATGAATATATATATATATATATATATATATATATAGACTTACAAATCCCATTAAAGAGAAGGAGATATGGATGCAAAATTAGTCTTTGGCTTCTCTTAACTGATCAGTGCTTCAAATATGTACTTGTTGTCAAACATGAGCAATGCAAACAAACCTTTAGAGATTTACATAAAAGTAATAACCTTGATTTATTTGTTGTCTGCAGTTAGTTAATGTATTAAACGACAAATTGAAAGCAGCTTCCAAAAATGTTTTTATAGTTGCTGAGATACTTTTGGATTGCGATTTTAAATAACATTATGACCAATGCATGTGACTGTCGATCATTTGTGAACTCATTGCAGAGTGATTCTGTCCTCTCCAATTCAAACCATCCAAAGCACTTTGTCTCCTCAGCTGCAGCGGTTTATCCACTGATTAGTGAAACACTCTCGAAGCTGTCTTCAATCGAAGTCAATCACTTTTTGACAAACAGCAGCAGAAACACAAGACAACTCTCAACACTGTCCCTTCTTTTCAGTCTAGACCTGTGAAGCAGCTGTTACTAAAAAGATGTACAGCTCAGTATTAATAAGATGTACAGCAAACATAATTGACAAGCAATATTAGTAATTTATCAACAATATCTAAACTGTCTTTATTTGACTTATGACAGTGAAGAATGAAGGGAAAGGGAGAACATGCAACAAAGGTCTTTGGCCAAAATCGTTTTGCTTACAGGTCATTTTTAACGAGGTAATCCACTGATTTTACACACGCAGATCACTTTGCTGTTCATGCAAAGCATAATTTACATCATGAAAATAGTTGTAAAATGTCTTCTGTGGCTTTACGTAAGTTTATAAAGTCTGATAAAATGCTGCAAGTCGGTATTTCTGACTTCAGATCTAAATGCGCCCCAGTGCATCTTCACGGGAAAACATGGACGCTCGTATGTTTTTTAAGACATTGTTTGACCTTAAGGATGCAATATTTTGGATTCAGAGCATTAATATAGAAGCAAAAAACTTTTTGCTATTTCAAGATATAATTTAAAGAGTAATGTCTATAGCATAGAGTGAAGTCACTCTCCCCTGAGGCTCAATAGAAATGCTCATAATCTCGTATTTGGCCTTTAAATTCTGATAATATAATTTAGGACATTTTAAGGATCCGTGGTAACCCTGTTAAAAGAGACGGGGGTCTTTTTAGTCGACCACATGCTCGCAAAAACGTCTCTCAAGCATAAATCAATTGAATGGAAATGGAAATGGCATCTACAATGTTTCTTACAGCATGTTACACTAAACAAAGTAAAAATGTATGAAAAGATATTTCTGCCTATGGTGCACTGTGTTGTGATTTCAGGTTTGTTTATGTTGCCGATCTCAGGACAGATGGATCTTGCTTTCAATTTCACTATTCCATGTTGTTTGTTTTTGAGTAAAACAGATCACAGCAGAATACCCCCGATGAGGTCATAGTGATGTCATTAGCTTGGACGTGGAGACTACAAATCTTAAACGGAAACTTTAACACTACAATAATCTAAAACGTTCACATTGTGTGAAAGTGAGATTCATCACATGACTCTGCACTTCCCCTCAGCTAACTGTTTGGTTTTATGGCCAGCAACTTTAATGTTTTGTTTCAATCTCACCGCTCTCATTAGCAGCATTTTCAGACACAGCAAGCAGCTGTTTCTAATAAAAAAGCTGTAAAATCGACACTACCCTGCCCAGCAGCAAACAGCAGACGGACACAGTTAGAGACTTGCCGGTTGAACATAGAGAAGCATTTTACTGCCAGAAATGTTGCCCCGGAGCTGAAAAGACAGTGGGTGTTGGACACAAACTTTACTGCAAATGAATGTTAAATTTGCTCTGCGCCGCCATATCAGCATAAATGTGATTATCACAGATTACAGCATCTTTCAACTCATTCTAATCACCGAAGTCTTTGTTTGCAGAAAATTGAGACGGTCCCGGTGAAAGTTGCAGTCTGTCAGTTTGTTTATTTGGCCTTTTATGATGTGATATCTCTGTATATGATTATAAGATTCTTGATGTTCCCCTCACAGTGACTTAAAGGGATCATGGCTGCCACCTGAGTAGTCTGTTTAAAGCTCATAATTAGCCCATTTATAGGATTAAACACTATCTAATTTACAAAAAAAACGAGGGTGTCACTTATTTGTTAGAGCAATAAGCGTCCACATGACTCAGCAGAACGCTCCAAACCCACATCTGTGACTAATTGAGTTTCACTCTGTGAGTCCGAAGGGTCAAACGAACGTGTGACAGTATGAAGTCTTGCCAAACCCATAATTAAGACTATAACTGTGATTGACACCGTTTGCCAGCAGACACAGGCCTTTGTCAGCAGCTGGACAAGGCTTCACCTTCGCCAACTTAATTAATTTAAAGTGGCCTGGCCCTGATCGAAGGCCGAGCCTCTGATCACTTTTTCTTTAAATCGTCTGACATGTTGATTGATTTTATTGATCTCTGTGAGGAAATTTGGATTTGCAGCAGCATGAAGGTATTAAACAGCTTGAAAGAAAAACACAACACCCAGCATGTATTCAGTTGCCACTTTATACAGCTAGCTGAAGTGAATGCTGTCTAATACAACACTCACAGAATAAATCCACCTTCATGGCGGTTATAATGTTATGTTAATATTTGTTTTAAGAGGTGTTGATTCAAGAGTATCCACAACACCCATCAGCCTCATCCGCGTTACCAGACAAAAGCCATGGCAAATTCAAAACGCTTCATAGTTACAACTGAGAATAAAACAGGAGACGGCTATTTGTGTCCCATGCAAAATTAAAAGTTAAGTCACTCATTTTTCTAAAACTAACTAAGTGGTTTCGTTGCCTAAACCTACCAACTTCCTGTGTAGGTTTATTTTGAAAAGAGTGGAAACTGACATGTCGTCACTGCAACATCCAAAATTGATGCTATAGAGGGGAACTCCATAGCATGAAGAGCTCCATAGCATGAAGCTTAGAACCACTGACCGAGCATTGATATTTGAAGATTTGGGAGTGTTTGAGGAGGCACAACAGACATCTCATCAGGAGGACATTCCCTCTGAAAACACAGACCAACAGGTCAACATACCAGAAAGCTCTATTAGACTTGAAATGACTCTCTTTGCCATCAAGATGAGGGATAAAAAAAAGGTCATGAAGGTTGTCAGATTCATAAGGTACGATCAAAGAGAATTGCCCCCGAAGCCACATTCAACCAGGAGGCTGAATATCGACTGAGGTAACGCCTGAACAGTCATTTTGAGAAAAAAATGAGGTTGTTGCAGCTCGTTCAGCTCCAGTGAGAAAACGTATTTTCCCTCTCTATTCTGTGATTCAGTGGTTGAGCAGAGGAGCAAGGCTAGAAAAATCTTTTTGTCAAACCGGGAATCTCTTTATTTACACAAAGGCTGTGAAGCAGCCGGAACACAAAGGCAAAGAAAATCAATATTTTTGTTGGACTGTTGGAGTAAAAATTAAGTTTACAGCACACAGATGACATTTGGTCAAATGTTTCACACACAAAAAACAACAACCTGTAATCCAGCAATTTTTACATTTGTATTTTACTGGTTTTGAAGCAGCACAAACGATGTACTACCGTTGCTGACAAAAATTATATTAAATCGAAATGAATGATTAAAATGTAGCTATAATATTAAATTATATACACAATATTATAGGGATATCAGTTGTCCCTCAGTCCACCACTGTGATATTTAAATATCTAATGAAACTATTAGAGGGATTGCCATGTTCATGGTCCCCAGAGGATGATTCCTTATATCTCTGATGAACTTTTCCTCTGGCGTTCTCAGTGAAACTATTGGATGGATTGCCATGAAATGTATTTCAGACATGTATGTTCCCCTCAGGATGAATTGTATCCACTTTGTCAATTCTCTGACTTTTCATCTATAGCGCCACCATCAGGTCAAACCGTAATCAGGCGTTGTTGTATTGGACTGCATTGCTCTGAGGCGGTTGCTGCCCTCTCTCTGAAGCCACTTCTCTGCTCCATTTGTTAACCTCCTTTATTACTGTGCTGCTGCAGGGTGGTGATCCTGAAATGAGAGAGGGTAATCATTTGGTGCTGGAGGAAGCTAAAAATACCTGCCAGCGTAGAAAACAACTGATGGCCAATATGTTAAGAAAATATTTTTTTAATGAAAAAGACCACTGGCCTTCAAAAAACCATCAAAGCTCATTTGCGTGTCCGTTCAGATGTGAATGAAGCGTCTGTCTCATTGTTGACACTCAGTGTGTCAGCTCTTTTGTTTTTGGTCGATGGCATGGCAAATGCCATGAAACTGAGAGGGAGGAAGGGACCTCGCCACGCTGGGGATCATAATAATTGGATTGTGAATACAGTCACTTAGTTTGGGAATGTCATTAACTGTGCTTCTTTTCATCACCGAAACCCAAACCCTGTTGGCGATGAAGAAGAGGTGCAGCTGCATAAATTACACCCATCAGGGTTTTTGTCACCATTTGTTTGAAAGAAAAACTAACCCATCTTTATCTTGTCCTTTATTTAATTGGATAAAAGCATAAAATAAATTACTTTT